ATTGTTGTTTGGCGGGTCCGGGCTGGGGATTCGAACCTGCCACCTTAGGTGTACGTGGCTGGCGCCTTAGCCGGTTGAGCTATAGGCACCGAGCCTTAATAAGTATCTTGTAGGAAGATAACTTTGAGACTATGTAAATACTCTATTTATATTAAACCTACTAAATTTTAGCATTTTTTAATAATTCTTACCTGAAACAATTTTTTTTTGCAGTTTTTGGCTGGGACTGGGTTTGAACCCGCCACCTCTGACATATGGGGCCAATACCCTACTCCTTTGAGCCACAGGTGCCACCCCTGAAACAATTTTTTTTTAAGTTCTCTAGGAGATTTTGATGTCCAGCTAGGGTTGAAAATGACTCCATTAATATGTCAAAAAAGGGCTCAGCGCCCCATAGCACAGTGGTTATGGTGCCAGCCACATACACCGAGGTTGGCAGGTTCAAACCCAGCCCAAGACAGCTAAGCAACAATGACAACTACAACAGAAAAATAGCTGGGAGTTGTGGCAGGCACCTGTAGTCCCATCTACTTGGGAGGCTGAGGCAAGAGAATCGCTTAAGCCCAAGAGTTTGAGGTTGCTATGAGCTATGATACTATAAGCACTCTACTGAGGGCAATATAGTAAGACTCCGCATTAAAAAAAAAAAGGTCACAGGCGGCCAGGTGCAGTGGCTTGTGCCTATAGTCCCAGCTACTCGGAAGCCTGAGATAGGAGGATTGCTTGAGCCCAGGAGTTTGAGACTATGGTGAGCTATGATGATACCACTGTACTCCAACCTGGACAATAGAGCAAGACCCTGCTCTCCAAAACATAATAAAATAATAAAAAAAAAAACATCAGAGACTACAACTTAGGACCTGCCGCTTAACTATCCTCCAAATAGGCCCAATAACAGTGATCAGACTTTCAATAAAAGTTTCTGGGCTTTTATTCCTTCTGTTTTCTGGGATGCCTGCTTGCCTGGGTCCCAGTACTCACAAGCCTGCAGTGCTCTGGCTGAGCCTTCCCTTGCACCATGCCCCTATACTCTTGAGCATAGCAGCAAGCTGTTTTTCCCTTCCTGCTTTGGTTTGGCTGCCCCTGGCCAAACCTCATCTTCTGACCTGTGCCTGGTAAACTCCACAAGTCATGAGCTCTGGGACCCTACTAGGACACCTTCTATGATGCTGCACTGTGCCCTGTTCATAGGTGACTTCCTCCTGTTAGAGAAATGTCTTCTTTAGTACCACATGATATTTAAATAAAGGTTTGCTAGAGGAATGTATTAGGGTTGCCATGGGAGCTGAGGAGAAAAAAATGATCCAAAGTGGAGTCTGTGTTGCTTATTGCTATTGAAATATTGTTTGGGGAGATTCTTCAAGATCTAGAATAAAGAAACTTGCCTCTAGCAAAGCTGTTTGCTTTGTGTTTTGGTCCCTGCCACCCTGGAACCCCCATAAGCTGATTACACAAGAGGTTTTCTGGGACTGCAGGTACATTCTTGGGTCTCACTATAGCCTCTCAGGGATGATTTCATTCCACTCCAGCTCTGCTCTGAACCAGTGGCTCTTCCCCCACCTCTGAGGGTTTCTCTTTTTTTTTTTTTTTGAGACAGAGTCTATGTCACCCTTGGCAGAGTGCCATGGTATCACAGCTCACAGCAACCTCAAACTCTTGGGCTTAAGCAATTCTCTTGCCACAGCCTCCCAAGTAGCTGGGACTACAGGCACCTGCCACAACGCCCAGCTATTGTTTGGTTGTAGTTGTCATTTTTGTTTGGCAGGCCCTGGCTGGGTTTGAACCTGCCAGCTCCGGTGTATGTGGCTGGCGCCCTAGCTGCTGAGCCTGGGGGGAGGGGGGGTTTCTTTTTACATATCCCATCTTGAACAGACTCTCAGTTTGACCCTTTGTTCTCTAGAGGTTGTGAGAAGCTGCCAGAGCTGAGCTGTCTAGGGTTTGTCAAAGGCCACTTAGCCTGCCCATTCTCTGGGATCCTGCTTGCTCTTAGAGTTTTTGGCTGCCACTCCCTACTATCTTATGTTTTATGCTTTTAAGACCAAAATAATACTGAGGGTTTCTAATTTTCAGCAGTAGGGTTGGTCTAAATTACCCAACCTGCTACAACTAGAAAGGGAAGTCTATGTTGTGTGCTTCTGCAGACCTTATTCTCCCTTCTTCCTACCCTCAGCATCCTTCGGAAGGCCCTAGATAAGATCGCTGAAATCAAGTCTCTCTTGGAAGAGAGGCGGATTGGTGAGTTGGAGAGTTGGACAGAGATTCCTGAGAACAGCAGTCACTTCCTCCCTGGGGAGCCTGTGGCTGCAGCCTGGTGGAGTCATCCCATTGGGTTTCTGGCAGAGTTGAGTTGGCACTGGGAAGCAAATGCAGATCACTCCCAGAGCTGGAAGGCAGGGAGGTCCCAAGATGGTTCCACCTTTGCCCCTCATAGCGCCCTCCCCCTCTATGGCCTGGGCCCTTTGCTGCCTCCTTCCTGCCACCACCTACTCCCATTTCTTGCTGAGCCACACTGTGTGTGTCTTAAATCTAGCCTTCTAGCCCCTGCAGACTGCCATTTCCTTGGCTTTCCCACCTTTCTCTTCTTACACACCATGGTGGATAGACCCTTCACTCATCAATGTCCTCATTGGTCACTTTGGCCTTATTTGAAGTCAGGTGGGTGTGTCCAGCCAGGCCTGAGGAGGTCAGAGGTCTACAGGTGACAGTTGGGCACTGGGGTAGGTGTAGGGGGCAGGCACCCGTCCCTAATGCCTCAGGGCCTCATTTCCTTCCCACAGCTGCCAAGATCGCAGGCCTGTACAATGACTCGGAACCCCCCCGGAAGACCATGCGCAGGGGTGTGCTGATGACCTTGCTTCAGCAGTCAGCCATGACCCTGCCTCTGTGGATTGGGAAGCCTGGTGACAAGTGAGGGCAGAAGTTGCAGGGGAGGGGCTTGGGGCAGGGCTGGGACTGACTCTCTGTTCCACTCACAGGCCCCCACCCCTCTGTGGGGCCATTCCAGCCTCAGGGGACTATGTGGCCAAACCTGGAGACAAGGTGGCTGCCCGGGTAAAGGCTGTGGATGGGGATGAGCAGTGGATCCTGGCCGAGGTGGTCAGTTACAGCCACGCCACCAACAAGTGAGTGGACATTAGCCCCCAGGCTGCTGTCATCACCATAAGTACTTTAGCCGCTTTGCTCTTCATGGGACTGAAGCTCCCAAAGGGTGCTACGGGTGGGGATGGGTATGAAGGACGCACTGGCTCTTCCTCCTCACTCCTACACTGTTTCCTTATCCCCAGGTATGAGGTAGATGATATTGATGAGGAAGGCAAAGAGTGAGTATCTGGGCCATGGAGGGAAAGTGGAAGCGTGGTGCAGCATAAGCCTGGGGCAGCCAAACTACTGGGAGCCTCTCCACCGGGCCATGGATTGACATATAAGTTCCCTCACCCCCAGGAGACACACCCTGAGCCGGCGGCGGATCATCCCACTGCCCCAGTGGAAGGCCAACCCTGAAACGGACCCTGAAGCCTTATTCCAGAAGGAGCAGCTGGTGCTGGCCCTGTATCCCCAGACCACTTGCTTCTACCGTGCTCTGATCCATGCACCCCCACAACGGGTAAGCAGTCTCTATGGGGCAGGCTATCATGATGCCAGGACCAGGCAGGTCAGGAGTCATCCTTCCTTTGCCCTTTCTGCTCACCTCAGCTAAAAGGACCTGCCCTCCCCCTTCTGCTTTCCAGACTTGGAAAGCTCTGCACTCCTTTCCACCCTTGTCCTCTAAGGTAGTGCTGGCCATCCTCCCCTTGCCAGCCCCAGGAGCCTTAGCAAGCCTTGCAAGTGGCCTACTTCCCCTCCAGCCTTACCTCACCTCACCTCTGCAGTCAGTAGAGGATATGAGCCCTGAGATGGGAAGCTTGCATCCAAATCTCCTGACTCCTGGGCACACATCACCTGAGGGAAGGATTCCTGCCTGCTGTCCCCTGGGTTGGCCTCAATCCTTTTAACGCAGGTGCTGTGTTAATGGCACCAGACCCTGCAGTTGTGGCCCAACTGTAGGGAGTCTCCTTCCTTTCTGCTCTTTAGCCCCTGTTCTTGGCCCCTTGTTGCTGAGAAAAGAGCAGGGATGGGAACAAGATATTCTAACTCCAAGTATAAAATGAGGGTGGAGGAGGCCAGCCTGGCCTGGGACCTCTGACTAGCCCTCTTGTCCGCCTCTGCTACAGCCCCAGGATGACTACTCAGTCCTGTTTGAAGATACCTCCTATGCAGATGGTTACTCGCCTCCCCTCAATGTGGCCCAGAGGTACGTGGTGGCTTGTAAGGAGCCCAAGAAAAAGTGAAGCTGGTCGGCAGACTCGCCATCTCCCACCACCCTCATGGGGGAAAACAACAAAGGTGTTCTGTGATCAAATAAATATCTTCCCTCCTTGGCTGTGTCTCCTGGATTTTTTTACTTTTCCAGATGTTCTTCCTTTCCCCAAACAGTGAATTGGGGAGCTGGAGGCTGCAGGGGGAGCTGGCCTAGTTGGTCCCAGTGGGCATTTACTCTTTCACCTAAAGTTTCCTCTAAGCTTTCATTGGAGCCCTGCGTTGAATGCAAATCATATTTTATTCTTGAGGTCAGAATATTTTATTCATGGGTCAGCTTGTTTCACATACTTCCTCTGGAGTGATTCCCACGGAACACTCAGAGCTACGAGCAGAAGCTGAGGTCGCAGCCAGCCATCTTCTGGGCATAGTCAGCATCAAATTGCTCATTCTGGGCCACCGTGAAGAGGGTTTTCCAGTCCCCAGCCTTGCCTTGTGGAGTGGGGAGAGGGCTGAAGTCACACCACAAATGAAGCCTCGTGGCTCAGGGCAGGCTCTGGCTGTTGTTCCCACCCTCCCTGAACACCTATACTAGCTGGGCACCCACCTTTCCTCATGAAAGGGGAAACAGCGTGGTCCATGATGTCAGAGGAGATAGTGGTATAGTTAGTCATGGGGTTCTTCTTCATTTCCTCAAAAGATGTGTGGTGGACTATATGGTCCACGATCTTTTCTGGCAGGGAGTGCCCTACAAACTCCAGAATCTTCTGAATCTCCCTTTTGGGGTTCTGGAACAACAGAAGGTTTGTCAGTGGTGTTTGGACTGTTCACTAAGCAAATAAAAGAGGAATCCCCTCTCTAACATCAGAAAGATCTGGATACTTCAACTAGAAACCTCTGAGCCAGCTCCTTGCCTCACTTGTCCTCTTTCCCTGGGGCAAAATCAATTGCTCTCTGCCCTATTATCCAGTAATAAGCTGTGTTTGCTTCCTGTTGGTAAGGACAAGCACAGCGTTCTTTCCTAACTGGTCCCAGGGCTTGGCAAATGCTTTGGCAGGGAGAATGGGTGGCAGTGAACTGCCGATCACGACTGCATGTGTCGCTGACTCAGGTGCTAGAGATAAGAGCTGTACAGAGTACATGGCATTGTAACTGTGGGACGACAGGGCAGGGTCCAGGTTTGGTGTGGGTGGACTGCCATACCAAAGGGGCTGAGAGAACCTTGGCAAGCCCCTGTGAAGTTCCTGCCATCCAGGTGTGGCATGGAGGGAAGTGGAACAGATGGTCTCACCTCCTTCATGTCTTCATAGAAGAGGTAGAGAACAGGGTGGGTGTGCCTGAGCTCCCACCATTCTCGCACGTGCTGGTACCAGGACCCATAGCTAACTGGAGAAGGGGCAGGGGCACCAACACAGGGCTTGGTGTTAGTCTTAGCTGCTGTTCCTTGGCTCCACCCCCCTCCTTCCTTGAGTTGGGCCCACCTTCCCCAGCCATGAATTTCTCCACGAAGCTGTCCCAGGTGCCAGGATCAGGGTGCACTTTGGCCATGCAGTAGAAGTGGTAATAAGAGACAGCCACATCCTTTGCATTTCGGGCGACGTAGACCACCTGCAGGTGCAGATAACCCCAACCCCAGCATCACTGCCACACAACACACCCCACACTAGTCCTGGGCTCCCCATCCTGCCTTCCTGATACCCTAGATAGCATCCCTGTGTCTGGCAAAGGAAGAAACTGAGGCTTAGAGACCGACTTGCTTGACAGGTATGAGTGGGCTGGGATTTGGACGCTGCTCTGATTTCAGAGCTCTGGCTGGTCCCTGGAGCTGTATTTTACATTAATCTCTGTCAATGCCATCACACCCAGATTCAGAGCAAGACATGCCAGGTTCCCACCAGCTCTGTCCCCTGAGGGCTTGTGAGTACCTGGACTCCATCTTCCTTAGGTCTGCACTGAACAGCCTCTTTTTCTTTGAACCCCACAAGAGCAAGAAGCCAAGAATCTCCCCCTCAAGACCTTCCTAGAAGAACAGGACTAAAGCTAAATGTCCCCAAGAGCCTCCTGTGGTTTCCCCTGCCACTTACCTTGGTCTTCTGATCCAACAGAGTCTGGGGGAGCAGGGACAGGGGCAAGTGCGTCTTGATGAGCCGTGGGGCTGGTGATTCTTTCAGAGTCTCCAAACCTAAGGCATGGGTGGGGAAAGGTTTGGTGAGCTGGAGTCCAGACCTCCCTCCCTCCACTCTACTCACTCCTAGCACTCCACCACAAACCTGTGGGAAACCCTGGGGCTTTGAACTCAAGGAAGGGCACCCGGATGTAGATGGGGGCCCGGTGACACTTATCTAGGTTGCCACCCTGGTATATCATGTCCAGTATCTGGCTCACCCAAGTGGTGCCTAGAAAGGGAGAGAGATGGGAATGGGAAGTAAGCAGGGATTGAGGATATGGGGACAGCAGCCCAGGAGAGGTTGGGTGGCCCTTCTCACCTACCTGACTTGGGATATGTGCTGATCAGCAGGTCATCAGGCAGGGCCTGGAAGCTTTGCAGTGGCCCAAGTGCCTCTGCAAAGTACTTGATGAGTGGGACCCCCTTCACATATTTTAGTGGCGGGCGGCAAGTGTCCTGGACCAGCTCCATGCTGCTGTGTCAGAACCCTTAATATCATCACAACAATACCATTTGCTGAAGTTGTGCTTTAAGATGAAGACACTGAGGTTTGGGGAGGTTGGGCAACTTGCCCCAGCTTACAAAGTTAGTGTGGTAGAGTGGGGACTCTAGTACAGTGCCATGCATCTCTGGCTACACCTTTGATTTACCTTGCAGAGATTTTCAGAACTCCTATGCTCAGGCTGTATCCCAAACCAATTAAAATCCTCTCTGGGGGCTCAGCGCATGTAGCTCAGTGAGTATGGCACTGGCCACATACACCGAGTCTGCTGGATTCAAGGCTGGCCCAGGCCTGTTGTTGTCAGGTGTCAGGGATGATCAGTGTCGCGGAGTATAGGCTTGCTATTGGAATAGTATAGGACAAAGATGACTACCACCTTAAGATAGTGAGTAGCAAAATTCTTTATTTCTCCACTAGTTTAAATAGCCAGTTCTAATTTGATCTTGTGAATCCATAATCTGGAGGTTCCAAAAGTACGCCAATGATACACCGGTGCACCCCAGCCCCCCTGGCCCTGGCTCAGCGCAGTAGGATGTCACACTCCTTTGGCTACAGCAAAGGCCATAGAGGGGGTTCTACCTCAGAGCCTCCTAGATTGTAGAAAAACATGACTTTTATTCCTGCTCACTCAAAGAGGCAAAAAGGAACAAGTATATAGGCTTTCCGCCTATATGGGCCTGCTAAACAACAATGACAAGTGCAACCAAAAAAAATAGCCAGGTGTTGTGGCTGGTGCCTGTAGTCCCAGCTACTCAGAAGGCTGAGGCGAGGGAATTGCTTGAGCTGAAGCGTTTGAGGTTGCTGTGAGTTCTGATGCCACAGCACTCTACCGGAGGTTACATAGTGAGACTGTCTCCAAAAAAAAAAAAAAAAAAAAAATCCTCTCTGGGGCTGGGCCCACATATCTGGGTTTTTGAAGCTCTCCAGAAGATTCCAGCCTGCAATGAAGAAAACTCTAGAGTCTGCCTGTCCTAACTTCCTCCTAATAACGAGCTTTTTCTTACTACTTCTACTGCAATGCAGCCTCCACCCAAAGGGCTCCTCTTCCCTTGGTTCTCCTTCTTGAGCCCCACAGGCCTTTCACATGTAGAAACCCCCAGGACAACCAGGCTGTGATCCTACTTTCTCAGCCATAACTGTATCTTGGCTCCGGAACAAACATGGCCAATTGAGCAGCTGAACTTGTTTTGGGGGCCAGAGTAAGGTATGTGAACGAGCAAAACTCCTATAACTCCGCAGGAGGGAGGAGGATTCAGGCCAGGCCAGAGCTCTACTGAAATAGGATATCCATTGGAAAAAAGCAGGGATATCAGAGACCAGAGCAGAGGGACCCAGCTGCAGGAGCCAGCCTCCACTTTGGGAATGTTGGGGTCAGAAACTAAGCAGGGTAATGGGACTCTGGCCCAGCTGGCCCTCACTCTGGCACTCACCTGACCTTTCAGGAACCTGGCCTCGTGCCCACCTCTGCCCACCTCTGCGTGCTGTGGTTCAGCGCTGGTGTGATGTAGTTAGTGCAGAGCTGCTCTCTAGGCTGAAGCCTTTGTAGTTCCTAAGTGGGAGGGATCTGTAGATGGGACTTGGCAGTCCTCCGGAAAGAAAGGGTGGAGTTTGGGGTGGGGTGGGGGCTCTATATTATCCTCCTTAGCACTCCAGCTGTAGTGACACTGAAGATTAACCTAAAACCCCAAGTTTAGTGTGTAGAAAACAAAAGATTGAAAAGAGAAATGGCCCTATAGTGGTTTGGGTTATGGAGCTGTAATCTGATCCTGATCTGCCCCTCTGACCTGCAAAGCAGACCAATAGGCAGCTTCTTCTTGTTGACTTTGTGAAGGGGGAAGATGGGTGGAGAAAGGTGGATATTTGCCAGGCAGGCATGGGGCAGGGCCATTTATCTTCCTGCTAGCTCCAGATCCATCTTAAAGGTGCCACAAGTTCTGGCCCACGGCAGCCTATAGGTCCCCAGTGGTCCAGGCATTCCAGGCTCTGACCTTAGGCAGGTTTAGAGTGATATCGGTGGGCACTGTAAAGAGGTCAGGGGGTGGGGTGGGGGGACAGCAGCTGAGGAAAGTTCTCTCTGAAGCAGCACTGTATAAGAACAAATGAGGAGGCTTGGTGCCTGTAGCTCAAGTGGCTAAAGCGCCAGCCACTGGAACCCTCGAGCTGTAGGGTTCGAATCTAGCCCAGGCCTACCAAACAACAATGACAACTACAACCAAAAAAATAGCCGAGAGTTGTGGTAGGCGCCTGTAATCCCAGCTACTTGGGAGGCTGAGGCAAGAGGATCATTTTAAGCCCAAGAGTTAGAGGTTGCTGTGAGCTGTAACATCACCCCACTCTACCCAGGGCGAGAGCTTGAGACTCTGTCTCAAAAAAAAGAAAAGAACAAATGAGGATACTGGAGCCTAGTCACTCCGAGAGTGAGTCACAGCTTCACAGCTCTCTCATGGGACCTCACAGAGCATCATTCCCGGCTGGCGGAAGAGTAACAGCCCCCAAAAGGTGCTTTTCTTCCCTTGGGTTTGAATGAGACTCTGCAGACAGAGATAAGAACAGGATGGGGAAATTCTGGGAAGATGGCTGACTGGTAGCAACCCTTGGCAGAGGCTCCTGAGCAGAGGAAGAAAAACTGGATGGAATTGGACTCTATGAAGCCAAAGATGGGGAGCTGAGCCAAGAAAGAAGTTTGGCAAGCTCTAACTCCAAGGAAAAACATTCAAGAAAACAAATTACAGATATAAAGCCTACTGACTAGAGGATGGAGACTCCTCCCCCAAGCAGGGGGCCTGCCACAGGCTATCTGCGAAGGATCAGGGAACAAAAGACCTCTCATTTTACCTTGCTTGAGAGAGCTGCTAAACTCCAGGTCTCTTTCTCCAGGGAGGTCCCACTTATGAACCTAGATACCACCCCACCAGGCATAAAATTGAACAGTTATTTTCCTCCACAAGTCCAAACTCCCAGTCCACCCTTTCCTCCTGCATGGTGGTCTAAAGTTCTGCTCCCTGCAGAGCACAGAGTGTTTGGTCTTGTCCTGAGAGATCTGGGCATAGTGTGGACCGCCAACAATCAGGACGACACCTGTGACTAACAGGGAAGAAAGAGGGTCTGGGAAGAAAGGGTTACTCGGCGGGAGGAGGAGCAGTCCCCTGGTTATGACTATGCTTGGCCAGTGGTAGTGCTGACTCTCTATTTGGGCTGTGTCTAGCGGGACGGGGTGCAGAACCCCTGACTCTGACGGCACCCCCGGTTGCCCTATGTGAACTGAGTTTGGCAGACAGGGCTGCTCCCCAGCCCCTCCTGGGCCTGTAAGCAGAGGCTTGATAAGCGTGGACTGAGACCTGAAAGCAAGGGCATGGTCCCCTCCTGATTCCAACAGAACCCTCCAGCAATGGCTTATTGGGTGTGAACCAAGACCTGAGGGCTAGTGCATGGTCCACTGTATCTAGCGGGGCTGGTGAGCAGAGGCTTACTAGGTGAGGACTGAGACCTATGGGCAAAGTGTGGTGCCTTGACTCTAACAGAGCCTGCAAACAGAGGCTTGCCAAGCAGTGGACTGAGACTGGCAGATGGGGGCGTGATCCCCTGACTCCAACTGGTCTGGCAAGCAGAGGCTAGCTGTGTGTGGACTGAGACTGGTGGGTGAGGGTGTGGCCCCTGGCTCCAGCTGGCCCTTGAGCAGAGAAGCAGACAACAGTGTGAACTGAGTCTGGCGGGTGGCAATGTGGATCCCTGGCTCCAACTGTGCTTTTGGAGATCCTTGAACCCCTCCCTGTTGGACAGGGTTTGCACTACCTAAGACAAATTGTTTGGAACCCGTGTCTGGGGCTGTCCACTCAGGGACATTCTCAGGTTGACCTTCGAAGTTCTGTAGCGGAAAAGAATCGAAGGGTGAGGGCTGTTTATATCTCTTCACAGTCAAGATTTAAACCTAATATTGTGGGGTTTTAGGATAGGGTAGAGGTTGGCTGATATCAAAACGGAGCTAGCTTTCCCTATCTCACCAAGTAGGTCCTCAGAGTCTCTGGCTAAAACTCTGAAAGGGGCCTTGGTAAGGTTGTAGGAGATAAGCCACAATTACAAAGCCTAGAGCTTTGGTAAGGGGCTATCTCTACTACTTGGCAACCCCAATTCAATCTCACTCTACCGGTTCAAATAACCAAATGGTGGAAAATAAACATGGGGTGGACCCAAAAGAAAAACTCTGGCAACATGAATAACCAGAGTAGATCAACCCCCCTAAGAAATGACAAAGGAGAGACAACTGAAAATGCCATGCATAGACAAATGGCAGCAAGGTCAGAAATTGAACTCAGAATATGGACTGTAAATAAGACAAATAGAAGAGAAGAAAAATAGAAATTGAATTCTTCAAAAATTCCCATTTTCGGCTGGGTGCCTGTGGCTCAGGTGGCTAAGGCTCCAGCCACATACACCTAAGGTGGCAGGTTCGAATCCAGCCTAGGCCCGCCAAACAACAATGACGGCTGCAACCAAAAAATAGCCAGGTGTTGTGGCGGGTGCCTGTGGTCCCAGCTACTTGAGAGGG